GGGGAGCAGTTTGGTTTTAAGTTTACCGAACTAATGCATGTAGGAGCACTTAGAACAGTGACTGACACATGGTGAATATCAGGTAAAACCATAGTTTCTCTCGTGTCTCTTGAAACACTTTCTTAAAAATTATCATGCCTAGTGTCTCCCTTATATATATATAGTCAGGGATATATATATATATCATCTCAGAATAATGTGAGAACTCTTGTAGTAGTAAATGGAAGTAAAAAGTATATACAGACTCTGGAACCAGATTACTTGGGGTCAAATCTCAACTCTGATATTTACTAACTAGCTGTGTGTCTTTGGGCAAGTTACTTGACCCCTCTGTGTTTCAGTTTCTGTAAAATGGGGATGGTGCAATGACTGCCTCCCTCACAGGATTGTTAAGGGGAGATAACAAAGTAAACGAATGAATCGATGTCAGGTGTTACTACTATTAACATTAGTGTCATTAGAGATAGTGTAATAGAAAACACAAAACTTGAAATGAAAATAGGCTCGAGTTTGACAGTTACTCCCTTCCTCTTGCTCTCAATTTCTTCATCTGTGAAGGGAGGGGTCTAGAACTAACCAAACTCTGACAGGATGACACCTTCCAGGTCTAAGACTCGGGATTCTTAGGACCAAGGACATGCCCGAGTTTCATTTCTAGAGCTAGGCAGCCGAAGCGTGGCAGATTAATCTGGGGTCGGAAGCCGGGAGGAGGGCATTAGCCAGAAGGCACTCGGCAAACACCTCTTCAGATAATCTGCTTCTCATCCTGGTGGAAGAACCAAGTTCCTCCCAAGCTGCTCACATATCTGAGCTCTGACTTAGAGCGCTGGAAAACAAACGCTTTCAGAGACCAAATTCTGAAGTCTGGTTGACTCACAGGGACATGACTTGACAAAAAGCCATGAGCTACGGCTCCCAGGCCCAGCGAGGCCACCGCACCGGCGGGACTGCACCGGCAAACGGCAGGGAAAGCGCTCATTTCATCCAGGTTTTCAAGTTTATTGGAATGGGTTAAGCGAAGTGATTTTCAGAATCATTTTAAATATGTGTATGTCTGTGATGGTTTCTCCTGTCGATTTGGGCTCCTTTTTTTCTTGATCGGTTTATATCATGATTTGTCTATTATAGTGAGATTGTGTGTGTGTGTGTGTGTGTGTGTGTGTGTGTGTGTTTACTTGACAACCAGGTTTTATTGAAAAGTTAGAACTTTAAGGTCATCTAGTTTATGGATATGTATGTTGTTTAGGTTAGTTAACAGACATGAGCGGGCTCAGTAAACTAGAAAAAACCATTACGTATATAGAATGACCACCTGTGTCACTTGGCATCTCTTGTCCTGAAATAGTTCCTCTTGAGGCCTCAAAGTGACCACGTTTGGATGATAAAATACATGGTCACCCTAACCACATGGTAATTTACTCCTCTAACAATAATCTCATCAAGCCACCTCATTTCCTAGCTGCGGGAGACATCATGGGGCATCAGAAGGAGAATATGACCAGAGCTCAGGACCTGTATTCTGATCACAAATCTATTCCTGACTCGTTGGGGGACTTCCGGCAAGGCACATGATCTCTCCAAGCCTCAATTCCTAGTCAGAGTCCGTTCAGCGCTTCCCAAAGTTTGCTCTACAAGGTGCTTCTTAGATGTCAACGCACACGCCAGTCCTCTGGGGATCTTGTTTAAATGTAGATTCTTATTCAGTAGGTTCCTGTGAAGTTGAAGTTCTGCATTTCTAACAGGCTTCCAGTTCATGCCCCCCATCTGGTAGCAAGGGTCTAAAAAGACGTGTTCCACAAACTGGAAATCAACATGACTTTTTTTGAAAATAGCAAGGAAGGGATGATAGTGACACACGTTCAGAAATCCATCTGCCCGATGTATTTTTCAAGGATTGTTTACTGCAGTGCCTTTAACGTACTTCCAAAGAGAATGACCTTAGCAACTCGGAAGAAAAGATTTTTCATAAAGACAAAAGTCTTTATTTCATAAACTGATGCAACAGAGCTAAGAGGGCGACCCGTGTTTCCATGCTTGTGTTCAATCCCTCTCCCAGATGAGTAGGTGAAGTCTTGGATTGCTTGTCGTACTTAATCCTCACTGCAGGGAAAATGGTTTCACCCACAGCTCCTTCCACACCCCCACCCCATCCCTGGCTGGTATTTTGGACCCTGTTATCTGACCCATGGGTCACTGACCAGCGACCCTGGAGTACCTGACCTAGGCCACGAGTCCATAGACTGCCCAACCACCTGTAACATGGCCAGATATAAGATGATTACCTGGGAAACCAGATTTTCACTCTTGGAAACGGCCATGGGAGCCAGCTAGTAGACATGGCCAAATCTGAAGAGAAGCCCCACGGTAGAATCAGGCCCATGGCAAACAGAAAGCTACAGGTGAGCTGAAGTTATGAAGGAGACAAACTTGGGGTGGGGAGCGGGAGCCTGGGATAGAGATGAGAACAGAGAAGCAGCACAGAGCAGGTGCAGAGATGCCCCAAGAGCTCTTAGAACCAGAAGCAGAGGTCACTGGTGACTACTCTTGCGTCACAAAGAGCAAATTATATCAGTCCTTAGTTTTCAGCGGAGGTAATGGCTACAGATCAAGAGAGAGGTAGACATGGTGTCGTTGTGTTTTAGCCCGACATTTGTGGACCAGAGGGGAAAAAGCGGACTTTGCTTCCTCTCTTCCAGGAAGCCCAAAGCAAATGTGCAGCCAATTGGTGGCGATGGTAGGACTTTATTGCCATCATATCTTCATTCTGGCCAGCCTCACCCTATACGCACCCTGGGCTCGGCTCCGTATTCGATCTGTTTTCTTTGTCCTGATTTTTAATTTATAATTTACCCATTTTATAATATGCATCTTCTACATGCTGCATCGACCAAATTGTGGAAAGAGACAGGGTATAAACAGACAAACAGATTGAAGAGGGCGAACTCAAGTGGATTCATGTCTGAATGACCATGTCCCCAAGACCCCCTTAATCCTTAGTGTAGGCATAGAGGTTAAGTTGTCGAGTGGCATGGCATAGGAGTCACACAGCACTGCATCCCCTTAAAACTCAGAATGACCGGGGGCATCTGGGTGGCCCAGTCGGCAGAGTGTGCGATTCTTGATCTCCGGGTCCTGAGTTCGAGCCCCATACTGGGTGTAGAGATTACTTAAAAATAAAAGCTTTAGGGGCCCCTGGGTGGCTCAGTGGGTTAAGCCTCCGACTTCAGCTCAGGTCATGATCTCACGGCTCGTGAGTTCGAGCCCCGTGTCGGACTCTGTGCAGACAACACGGAGCCTGGAGCCTGCTTCAGATTCTGTGTCTCCCTCTCTCTCTCTCTCTCTCTCTCTCTCCCCTTCCCCTGCTTGTGCTCTGCCCCCACCCCACCCCCAACTCAAAAATAAATAAACACTAAAAAATTTTTTAAAAGTCAGAATGATTGGATCGATGACAGCGTTGATGTGTTTACATTTTCACACAAAGATACAAAAGAATGACTAATACATTAGAAAATAGCGTCTGCATCCAAAGGTTCTCACCAGTCTGAGCTTAATCCAGGATGCTTTCGAGAAGTGATCAAATGCCCGTGCTGAATCAGCGTCTCTGGGCTAAACATCAGTGTCAGGACATCTAACTCCTGTCCTCAGTCATAAGAACTAGCCACGTGAATTTCTTTTTGAAAAAAATTACAATTTGATCCCCAAACTGGTATCGAGACATTGTCCTTTCTATGCCCTCTACCATGCACCAGAGGAGAAATTTCTTTTAAAGTTTAGTACCAAAAAAATGTAGTCTTCACCCCCCCCCCAAACTCCCCCAAACAAAAAATCCACAACGTTTCCTTTTCCCTGATCAAAAGAGAGGTCCTGGCCAGCAGAAGCCTCTCAATCTGGCATTACCCTCCCTTGGGACAACAGGAATTAACATTTAATTTTTAATTCCGCCCCCACCCCCACCCCTCTGTTTTCCTATCTGAGTTCGTATGCTATTGGTTTTATTGTCTGGACTTTTTTCTTTTGGTAAGCCACAACAACTCCGTTTTTGAAATGACTTGGGATATAAATAAAATATATGAATGGTGAGTAGGAGGTGGCTTGATGAACTGCACAAAGGAGGGGAGAAAGGAAAAAATGAGCAATCTGAACAGTGTTCAAGATAAGTAACTCTATTGAAGTGATAGTTCGAAATGTATTTTTTAACGTTTATTCATGTTTTGAGAGACAGAGAGAGACAGTGTGAGCAGGGGAGGGGCAGAGAGAGGAAGACACAGAATCCGAAGCAGGCTCCAGGTTCCGAGCTGTCAGCACAGAGCCTGATGCGAGGCTCGAACCCACGAACTGCGATATGACCTGAACTGAAGTTGGACGGTCAACCGACTGAGCCCCCCGGGCGCCCCTGAAGGGATATTTTGAACCGATGTTTTATTTTAGTCCACAATCCCTGCTAGAGGGAGAACAGCATGGTGAAATATCTTCGATCATACTCTCCTTACAAGACAATTGATCGGAGTACTTCTGGGCATCTGAGTTGATCAGCTCAGCTTGCGTGTAGAAGGATG